AGGAGAAAGACCATCAGTAAAGCTCCTAATTCTACTTTAATATACTGAACTGTATTTTTTGTTATAAACTCATTTAGATCATATCTAAACTCCAATGGAAATGGGATGTATTTTTACCACAGTCTCAACAAGGAAGCACTTCGATTACCCCTCCATCTTCAGAGTCCTCTTCGGCTGACTGCTCAGGACGGGGAGAAGTGCTCCCACAGGAAGCTCCAAGAACTGTGGCCTTCAAGAGAGGTGTTGAAGACACAACAGGTCCATAACATCAATGTGACCGGAATCTTAATATTTACTGTTCCTCTGAAAGGCATCTCACCTGGCCTGAATAAATGAGTTATGAGTTTATTAAATGAAAGAGGAAAGGAAAAAAAAAAAAAAAAAAAGAGAGAGGAGAGAAAAAAGTTTTAAAATACCGTTTTACACCTTTCTTTTTTTTTTTTTTTTTAACTGAACAGAACAGAGAGACACTGATTATTTCTGACATTAGAAATAGGAGCTATGATTAGGTAGGGAATTTGTATTTCTTTAATGATAAGGATTAAGACTAAAAGAGATTCTCTTTCTTCTCATGACTGTTGTATGATTAATATACAGATAATGTAGTTTAGTCCCACGCTACAGTTTCAAATACTAATGCTTTCTCTCGAAGTCATGGGAACTAGTCCAGAAATTAAAGCCTACTGTCTGTTCTGTCTGTATCAGGCCCACAAATGTCCTTTAAAACTGGCATGATTATAATTATTTCCCTATGTTTCCCAAGCTACCAATTTTCCAGGGTGTGCTGTCAAAATTCCAAACACCTACCCAACTTCTTAATATATAAAAGCTTTATGTATTTTCCTAATTCAGAACAGCATCTAATATATTACTAAACAATCAAGCTTCACTTTGTCTTGAATTTGAATTAAACTGTCACTCAATGTGTTTTGAAATGTATTACAATATGAGCAAGTAGCACTGATCAGGATCAGACATTATTTTTGTCTTAATCTGGGTGGTACTTTGTCATTAACTTTTGTGATGATGCACTGACTTTAGTTAATGCAGTACTGATGTTAATTTGCTTGCAATCATGCCCTGTATTGGTTTGATTAGTCCTACTGTATAGCTGGTTGATGACAAACCCCCATTGATTACATGTGGTCTGCTTCTCATTTCCAGCCAAGCTTTCTGTCTTGAGACATGAATAGTTTCATTAATTAGGTGAACTAAACACGTTGACAAGCATTCAAGCTAGTCCAGTTCTGGCATAATAGTCCCAGTATTATGGATTCAGTCTCTGTAGTCAATGAAAATTTGGTTATTCATTTAAATGAAAGCAGAATCAAAACCTATTGGTGTTCATTTTATTTGATTATGCTCCCAGAATATATCCAGTACAATTTCCTCCTGCTTTTAGAGGCTGTTATGCTTCACAAGGAAAGACACCAATTATTTATTCCAGATGTTAAAAATCCCTCCTGCCCTGATAAAGAAATCTAAATAACAAAGCCAAAACATGACTAGCTAAAGCCTAGAGCTTTAAAAAAAGCTCTGGATGTATGTCAAAACAGTGAAAAGTTACACTGAATCTTCTAAAAGGATGCAGTTGTTTAATAACATATCAATTTGCTAAATACTCAGAAAAACTGAAATCGCATTTTCAGGACATTTCACTGCTGTGTTGATACTGATCAGTACTTGTCTTATCTTGGACTCCTTCTCAGTAATCAGTATCTATTTTTTTTCCCCTCTGTCCTGTCTTGTTCTAGAAATGCATTTTCAAATATTTTCACCAAAATAGGGCTATAGAGAATTTTTGAATGCTACCTTTATTCTCCCGATTAAAATAAATGGAAGAGGCCTCCCATCTGTCTCATGACTGGAAATAGGCATTTCCCCACCAGCAGCATTTTAGTCCATTAATCTGCTTTAATGCAACCCAAACCATTAGTATGTTAGACATGGCAGAACCTGTAGCAACACTTAATTTTCCTCTCAGGGAGCAGCAAGAGCAGGTCCACTCCCTGAAGGAAGACAAGCTGGGACCTGTGGCTGAACACAGCCCAGTGGCCTTGCCCTGGCAGGTCCAGGACAACAACAGGCTCTGCTGCCAGTCCAGGGATGATCAAGACAAGGCAAAAAGTTGAATCAGGCACAGAGCCCATCCAAAGAGTCCAGCCAGAAACAGCAGAAGATGGAACTAGAGACAAAGCTACCCGTAACACAGGTTTCAAGGTCCACCCAGGAGCTGAGGCTGGAGACAGGAGCTACCCAGGCCTGAGCTAAAATGCTGCCCCAGACGCATGGCCAGCGGGTGTGGGGGTTAGGCTGGCTGGGGCAATTAGGGCCTTTTAGTGCCCTCAGAACCCTGGCAGCTCTACAGAGGAAAATACATACAGAGGTGGGTGTCATGGTTTGAGCTCAGAGGGTAACTGAGCACCACACAGCTGCTCACTCCTCCCTTCCCTCCCAGCAATGAGAAGGGACAAATGAGCCAGGCTTGGGATTCGAGATAGGACTGGGAGGGGCAGATCACCCATTATGGTCACAGGCAAAAGGCAGACTTGTTAAGGGAAGAAAAAAAAGAACATACATTTATTACAGACACTAACAACATGTAACAGAGTAGGACAGTGAGAAGCATTGCCACATCTTGAGAACACCTTCCCCCCACCCCTCCCTTCTTCCCGGGCTCAGCTCTGCTCCTGGTATCTCTACCTCCTCCCCCCGGCGGGGAAGGGGCAGGGAATGGGGGGGTGCAGTCAGTGCTGCTGCTTCTTCTATCTTCGGTGGGGGGAGCTTCTGGAAGTTCTCCCCCTGCTCCATCATGGTCCCCGTCTCACAGGAGAGACTTCTCCACAAACCCTCTCCAACATGAGTCCCTCCCATGGGCTGCAGCATTTCCTTACACTGCTCCGGTGTGGGTCACCAACATTCTTCAACCTGGATTCCCTCCCATGGCTGCAGCCCTTCCCGAGCTGCTCCGGCGTGGGACTCCCCCCCATGCTGCAATCCTCCCAGCGCTGAATTACAGCAGTGGGGTCTACTTTTTCCCACAAGATCCCGGCGTTCTTTGGGTGCAGTCACCTTGATCAACCACGCTAAACGCCTCACAGGCCATAAATCAGTGTCTGCTCCACCGTAGCTCTCCATGGGTGGCTGAGGGGGCCGCCCTGCCATCTCACCACAGGATACAGGGGGGTCTCTGCTCCGGCACACCTCCCCCCTCCTTTCTTCCTCCGTTCCTCCACTGACCTTGGTGTTTATGCAGCTGCAGCAACTCCTCCTCACAAGTCTGACTGCACGTCACCATGTCCCTTCTGAAATACATTATCGCAGAGGCGCAGCTGATTTGCTCTGCCTTGGTGCAGAGGTGGGGTTGATTTGGAGCTGGGGGAGCTTCAAGAAGCTTCTCAGAGGGGGCCGCCCCGATAGCCCCCTCCCCTGCTGGCAAAAAATTTCACCACTCACTCAAACCCAGGATGGGGCAGGGGGGGGAAATCAAATACTCTCTGGGAAGGCAGTTTCAGAGAATTAAGATTTCCATAAGCCAGAATAAAGTAATTATTAGTAATTCCACATCATTAGTATAAGCATCATCTATCCTGTTTCTGCATGACATAATGAGCTATAAAATACTGCAATCAAATACGTAGTATAAGTAAGTTTATGAGTAATATTTCAAAGGAAGTGTCTTAACTTTCAAAGATTATCTGACACATACTTTGATGTGAGGCAAAGATACATTATCTTTTTTGAACCATGGACTCAAACAGTGCCTTATATGACCTCTGAAGTGTATCATGCTCCTTTTGCAGACTTTTTGACTTTCATATCATGATGGCAGCAATACTTTCTCAAGAAAGATGAGAAATTACTGAACACCCAAGTGCTACTATGGTGTAATTGATATATTTCTCAGAATTTGTTTCAAAGCATTATTTGTTCCCATTGTGTACAGTGATCAAGAAAATAATTCCTTGGACTTTATTTCTGATGTATTCATGGCAGCAAGTCAAGACCACAGAAATGAAGAGACTGAAAAAAACAAACTTCACTTACAATGGTTGAAAAGCAGGCCATATTTGAAATCAGCTGGTCACTTCTGCTTCTCAGTACTTCTGCAAAATTCCATGCTGCCTTCCTTGACAAAATTATGGAGAGAGGAATACTTGGGAGAGAAGAAACAGGGAAAAAAAAAAAAAAAAAGGTAATCTATCTTTTGAAGTCTAGTTATCCAGAAATACTTCCATCCTCACCCTCTTCCCTGCTAGCAGAAGATGGATTTTACAAAACCACTGTAGCTGCTTTTGTCCCTGCCTCCACTGTTCCTCCTGGTCTTGACCACAACAGCCATGTAGAAATCAGAGCTTCTTCCCTATAGAGGCAACTGTTCAGCGAGGTCTAATATTTCATCAGCTTTCAGTCCTATGAAAGAAACATTCAGCTCAACTCCTCAAACCTCTGGCATCCCAACGCTAGCTAGGAGCTAGCTCCCAACCCCTCTAAAGGATCAGTCACTTACAGGTGTTTTTTTAGCACAGGGAGTGCAACACTCCACGTCGTGCTCGTCAGATTATCCTTGTGCACAGCAGCAAGCAGATGAGCACTTCGCACTTCAGTCTTCAGACAAGGGTGTGCCAGAAACGGTGGATGGTTTGGACCTTCGTGGGGCAGTAATGACACCATGGGGCCAGAAAGGGATTTTCATGCCCATGTTTCTTCCAGAGTTCACAAAATACAGCTGCCCAGAGCTAGGGACTACTGCTCACATAGGCTTCAGTTTTCCACTGGTTATAAAGGTACACTTTAATCTTCAGCAATGAACCTAAATTGGGCCTGGGTTCTCAGAAGAGATTCTTACTATAAATGTTTATTTTGAGAAGTTTAATTTCTGTTCTCCTGAAGCAGAATTGATAGGACAGCCATACTGAAAGGGTTGAAGATCCCCAGCCCCCTCCCCCCTCAATTTATTTCTTGCTTACAAATAAAGAGGTTTGCAGTCGCCATATTATGAATGGTTTTATTGCTGGCTGACATTCTGTAATACATTGTTACCATTCCAGTCTTTAATACAGAGACTAAAAAAATAAACCATAGATCTAAAAGTACACAGTATTAGTTTAATCCTTAATCAATATAGCAACTGATCCAAAGTATGCTACACAGGCACTTTACAAAAAAAGGAAAAGGTAATTAAAATCCATGTTTCAAGGATATTTAACATTAAATTCCAGAGGTTGCTTCTAACAAACTCAACTACCCACAGAGCTCCTAGTTTGACTGTTTTCAAACAAAAGCTCACTGACAGATTCTGTGTATGGCTGTACTTACACATAATATTTCAAAGCAGTAATGCTCTCTTGTGCTTAATGAGACGTTACAAACAATATATTCTTCATTGGAAAAATGTGTGCAATACTCAATGCAGAAATTAAGCTCATTTTTAAAGTGTAACACAAGTATAACCAGATACGTACACTATATACAGCATGTTAAAAAGTTAAAAGACTAAGCAGCCTTATTAAATCTGGCACATGGTACAGATAGAACACACACCCCCACAAAAGTTGTGGATATTCCCATGAAAGTCCAAATCTAAGTACTTGCAGAAATGTCCCAGCTTCTTTGAACACTATATTGGACTTTCAAACTGAAGCAGAAGTTATTTCTAAAGTAGTTCCACTCTAGCCATACAGTATTTCTAGCATGCAGATGTTATTTCTGGAGAAGAACATAAGAAATGAATACTTGATTGGCTTCTGGGCAGTCTGAAATTTCTCACTGGTGTTAACATCTGCATGACTGTGCATGCTGTATATTCATTTATACATACATAACAGGAAAACTTATCCCACATCTGCTAGTAGGAAAAGGGAAACATTCTTAATAATACATTTTCTTTAGGAAAACTTGATTGATATATACAGTGAGTGTGTATATATATATATATATATATATATATAAACCCTACACAGTTGTCAGCATACAAAAATATGAGTTCTACTAAAAAGATACTTCTTTTTATACTTCAAAACCTAATGATGAAAAATCTAGGTATCCTGAGACAGGTATGTACTCTGCATCTAATTTACCAATGCCAGTGTACTGCTGGAGTACAATCAGAAAAGTACTACCTGCATTTATCAACAAGTACAGAGATAGAATACAGAAGGCAATGCATTAGCTTGAGAAACTCTCCTCTTTTCATAATGTTAAACGAAAATGGTGCAAAATATGCATAAAATGCTGGCAGACATATCCATGAAGTAGCTCTGAAGTAAAAAGTATGGAACAATATGTCTATCTATTACCGTTACTGATTTCACAATTTAAATGAAAATAAATGAAAGGTACTTTATTTTCTTGAGCATCATGCTTAACCACAATGTGTATACTCACATTCAGGCAATTGTCTTAAATATATATATATATACTACATCTGACAATGAATTAATAAAACAAAAAATCATTGATGTTTGCTTGTGAATTTCTCTGGGTAAAACCGGATCGATAAAACTGGTTCATTTTTTTTCCATTAGGGGATTCTAACAAATGAAGTGAAGTATGATTACTATAAATCCTCATCAACTTAAGTTTAATTGTGTTGGCTCTAAAACAGCAGAAGAGCTGTTTTGACCACTTATTGACTGCATCAAAACAAACAAAAAACAATCCCAAAACCTGATGCATTTGTTAAAACTGCGTGAAAGCTATCTAAAAAGCCACTGAAGATTGCAACTCTCTCAGTGGACATAAAATTGGCTGGTTGGTTCAGCTGATAGCAGGAATGTTTACTTTAAAATGGATCCCTAAACACGAAAATGTTTGACATTTAGAAACAGTAATATATGCATTTTGGTATTCATTTACATTTACAATCTAGAAGAAGAAGAAGTGTTATGAAATACTTAATTTGGGTAACTAGACTGCATCAATGCTAATTTCACAGATTAAAGACTATTATTCATAGATGATGGTTACAAAGATAGGCCAGACATCATCAGCTCTATCTTAAAATAAAAATGGTAAATTTTCTCCAAGCACGAACCCCATAGCAACTTAGCTGTTCCTTGCCCTTAACCATCCCTTCCCAGCTGTTAAATCTCCTAATACATCCCCTCTAGACTACCACTGAATCATGGTAGTCAGTATTTGGTATTGTATGTCTCCAGATCCTTGAATTTATTCCCAGAAGAATTACACTTGTCTTGGATGAAAAAGTAAAAATTGCATACAGAATGCTTTCCCTAAACCAGTACAAGACATTGTAAAAATAGGCTGCATAATCTGTTGCTGTAGAAGCAAAGATTTAACAAGCTATGGGTATTACAGTTCTTGTAAATCATCACTCTTGGTCATCTCTTCTTGTCATCTGTAAGTCTAAAAATTTATGAGAGGATAAACAGACTGTGATAAGAATGGATTTTTTTTTTTTTTTTTTACTCTGCAAGTGCACCTTGCATAAGGAACAAATACAACCTCTACATATACTAAACAAGATAAATAGCTTTAATAATGAACATAAGTAAATTTATAATTTAAGAATGGGTTTCCTAAAGGTCCATTTAACATTATTAGAAGTCAGACATGTTAGAATGTGCAGTGTGCTCCAAAAACAGAGGAAGAAGAAAAGCAGTTTGAAAAGCTGCACAATGTTTTAAGTGAACTCGGGCTTTTAGAAGAAATTTTGAGAAATTAGACACTCACTTTCCACAGACAGTCAGTGGGACATTTATGCCCAGTTTCCTCTGGAAATCCTATCTTTACATGCTACCTGTAACCCCAGAAAACCAGGGTTTAAGTTTCTCAGCCCCTATGATATCAGGCTTTATTTTGCAGTATGGGTTATCAGTGGAGCTAACAGCACTAAATAAGTTTTTGAAAACTGCCTCTGGAGTGTGTGTGTGTGTGGAATAATAAAGAACCAAAAATTAGATAAAAAAAAAAAAAAACAAAAAAAAAAAAAAAAAAAAAAACCCACAAAAAAACAGGTCAAGATTTCTGTTGCACATTCATGAAACAATACCTAAAGAATCTGGTCTAGTGACTGGCTCAGAACTATTTGTCGCATCGTGTTTAGAAATGTCTATTACTCCATGCTTTCAACAACAAAACAAATGAGATAATTCCCATATTACACAAGAAGACTATTTTGGCATATTTGCACTCCTACCATTTTCAATGCAATAAAAAAAAGTGATGCCTAGTTATAATAATGTGCGTGCATGCAACAGATTTTGTCCTCCAGGTTATTTTATATTATACAGGATTAGCAGCTTCATGCACCTGACAGCTGCCTTGCCTCGTAGTAAAAAACCAAAACTCATGTGGGCAAATCTCACAGGAAAACGCGAGCTTACAGCCAGGGCTGACACCGGCACCATCCTTGGCATGAGGAGGTTACAGCTTCTCTGTACTCCTGATGTCTAAAAAAGCAGAAGCTGAAACATTTTTGGAGCTTTTGCCTGGAGCGGGAATTACCCTAGCCAATACTGCCTCTCTGAATAAAACACATACAAAAGTATGAGATCCTGACTAGAATAGCAACTATAGAAATCGTGACTCTTATATACAAGCCTTAGGTCATCCTAGACAAAAAGAGTAAGTTTCTAAAGCATAAAACTTTGTTATGTGTTTTTTGTTTTTTGTTTTGTTTTAATCAAAGATTATAGTCCCACAGCTTCCAGTAACTATGAAAGAGTGTAAAATTCAAAGCAGAAAGGCGAAATTGTTACTGAAGTGTTCATTATTGCATGTCTTGGTCACATTTTAAGGCAAACATTCTATATTTAAGATTGGACCAGTAATTGATATAACTATATAAATATTTACATATTGAAACTCACATACATGTGCAGACATATATATCTGTGGATATGTAAAAATATTTATTTTCTTAGCAAAGTTAAAGTCTGTGTAAAAACATTAAGAATACTGGAAAAGGTAGGAGCTCTAATTCCTCCTTTGGAGAAAAGTAACAAGTCCCCTAGACATCCTGTATAGAAACACTCTCTGCAAGAGTACAGCTCATTTTGAATTCTCACTTATTTCATTGCAGATTAATATATTTGTTGAAGATTTCATAAATAACTACATAATATGACAACAATTATGTTGTGAGGTTTGATAGCTACAGCATAACTATGGACCACTGTTGTACAAAAAAATAAATTTTACTCAGACAGTATATGTCCTGCTCTAATAGAATGTGTAGCTACTGCTATAGGTAGAACTATTTCAGAATATAGTTTTCGTTTTAGTATGTTCACACATGAAACCTCATTTAGGGGCATTTCATCTGAAAATACTTTGGCCAAAAACAGTCAAACACAAACATATTTTCCCTGGGCCCTCTAAATACTCAGTACAATTTCAAAATAAATCTTAACAATTACCACTCCAAAGAATGGAAATGCTATACAAAACAATTCCGACAAGATATGGGAAATGGTAGCATAAAACATCAAAGCCCCAAACTGCTTCAACTTAAACCACAGACATTTCCAGTTAAATATAACAACACTGCCTCATCCTCGCCTTATGTAGACTTGCTAGTATAGTACTATACAAGAATATACACAAGACTGGAAAACTCTGAAATGCAAAGGCATGAAAACAGGAAACATCCATCAGACAGAGTCAGAAGTTCACTCTAACTATGGATGAAGATCAGACTTACCCTTCTCCTTCATTATAATGGCAATTGAAAAAGGACAAAACTTCACTTCATACGCCATATAGGTACTTCTTCTAAAGGAGTATGACAACAAACTGCTTAAGACCTGGCTGAGTTTACTGATTACAAGCACACGTTCACAGCAGCAGTCTGCCTGCAGCCATTAAACACAATTCTGAGACGAGTTTTCCATCTTTAAACCTCACTTACATTATATCCTTGAAACAGTAATGTCATCCTTTTGAGAAATTATGACAGTGACAGGAAAAAAGGTATTATCAGTGCAAAGGGCCCCATATGATGTGCATGCTCATAATCAAGCTTAGTTTATCCATGCTTTTATTCCTTCCACAAGAATGCATTCTGTATGGCGTATAAGTCATTCTCTCTGAAGAAGATACTTGTTTTCAAGCTGCTGGATATACCTGTCATGTGGCTGAACAAGACACATCACATGAATCTGATTCCAGTGTAAAATTCCCAAGGAAGACTTCTGTTCTACTAGTGTAAAGCTGGAGTGCACAGATTCCAGAAATGCTTTTGGGAAGTCATTTTTTCAATGCCAACAGAGAATATTTAGGGTATTTCTTTCTTTATCCTGAGTAAAGGTGTGGGGGTTTTATATTTATCAAGGCCCCAGGCATATATTGCTATAGTGCGTTAGATTTTGTCATATAGTCCCAGTATCCTAAAGGCCATTATTGGATTATTTTCTGGAGCAGTTCTCCTCATTCTTCTCCAACAGGTGGTGGTGGCTGGCATAGCCTGTATAATCTGACAATGACAAAAAACAAAGCAATTATTATTCTGAGAGCTTGGTCATTATTAAAATGGGTAAATTTAAGGAACGCAAACTAAATCTAAGTCTTCCTGCATTGCAAAACAAAAGGTACTGAATTCAGTCTGACACTGATATAAAACCAGTAAAATCTTATTTACAAGCATGAATGTTTACAATGAAAGTGGTATCATAAAAACACACATTTATAAGCAATCTTATAGACATTCCAGTTTAGTCAAGTTTTCATATTTCTGCACTGAAGACCCCGTTCTGGAGAAGGCTAAGTCTCCACTAATCCGATTACCAGTTGTTGCTGCTTGGTGAATACAACTGCCTCCATTTTTGGTTTGTTTTGGCACAGCCAGACTTCACTCTAACACACTTCCCTATAAAACTGATGTTGTTTGAGGAACCCAGGACAGATGTCAAACATGTGACACACCAGCATGAAGATTTTAAACTCTCTCCCCCAGCCATTTCTACACGTATGAAGTGAAGACCACTAAGACTTGGTTCAAATTACTACCTCAGTACAGACTGAAATAGCCACTCCATTTATAAAGGGTTTTTAACTTCTTTTAAAACCTTTTGCAGGGACTTGGTTATTAGCAAGTGTTTGAAATTTCACCCTAATGTCAGGAATACAGAAAATAAATGGCAATCATTCTGACCTCAGGCTCTGTTTTGTAAGTATCCAGCATACAGTACCTCCCCTGCAACCACAGCAATTAAAATGAGCAATAGACATGATCTCATTTGGAGATTATATATTTTCCTCAGGGAAAGTGTATCATTGAAGGAACAGCAATGAGAAGAGACCAAGTATGGCATGGAAAGGAGAAAAAGCATCAGAAGCCAAATATGAAGATACATTAACACAGCACGTGCATTAATACTTAACATGAAGAATCTCTGGTGTTGAAATACCAAAGCAATAGAAATAGCAGGTTTGGTAGGTCTGGCACAGTCAGGGTGGTGAATCGTCCAGTGGCTTAGGGGCTAGGGATATTTAAGATACTCAGGGTATCAGAGTTTTCCAAGTATACTTTGCAAATTTGCCTGCTGAACATGACATTAATTTATAACTCCATTTTAACTAATGATAAATTTCAAAATCATACTACAAACCAACACAGAAAAAAATCTGCACATGTGGCTGGGCTCCACAAACAATTCAAGGTCAATGGGCCAGTGCCTTCTTGGCATGATACTCTGCTGCTGAAATTATGTGATGCACGGTATGTATGGTTGCCCCCCATGAGTACTGAAAGCCTCTTGAACATCTAGACACATCTTGTCAGAAAAAGTGTTCTATGGCTATGCAAGCAGGGCAGGATAGCTGCTGCCGTTCTCCGATTTCAGTTCCCTTAGAAGTTAAAACCCATGGGACACTGACCATGCACAATGACTGTGGGCTAACTAACTTTTCTCTGAATCTCACTAGAAGGGTTTATCAAGCAGCATTGTTTCTGGATGATAAGAACAGGGGATCATCAGTTCTGTCAGCCAAACAGAAATTGCAAACCTGCTTTCAAGCCTCCACCATAATGGGTTCTGAAGATCACTGGGCTCTTCCACACTGTCATCTGGCAGATTCAGAAACGTGATCATTTAAGGTCACATTGTGCAGACACCGATGTATTTATTAGGAGCCATATATAAGGCAATACACAGATATCTCATATTTGTATACCAATGAGAGAATAGGATAGCCTGATCTTTATTCAGACAAATGTGCAGAGAAAAATAAACAGAGGTTATTTGTGTTATTTGATTCTGCTGGTGTGATAAAGCAGCAATATTCAAAGCTGGGAAAAGACAGATAAAAGTACTGTCAGAATCTCATCTAAGTATTTGCAGTGGGGTTAGTTCTTGATGATGTTTTAGCAAATCTAATTTACATGGAACAATGTGCAGAAAAGCTCAGCCCCAAGTACCAAGGTCTGTGTGTTCTTCAGGTTAAAATGGTAATCATTAAGATTACTTGTCTTCAGAGCAAGTAATGTAGGGGAAAATTCTGAAGCAAACTAACAAGGCTGCATAAATCCGTAGGGAGCTATAGTGCTGAAGACAGCATAGAGCAGAAACAGCCTGTTCTGGGTCAATATATATGGAACAACTATTTGAGATGGTACAAACAGATCAGCTGGGAAAAGGCAGAGAACAGTGGCAACTGCAGAGAACTGACAACGCTGTCAAGGGATGTTAAATGGAACCAAATGTAATGGTAAAATTATTTTCAAGGCAAAGAACTGAGATCCCACATATATCAAAACCTATACATCAAATATATCACTCCTGCTGATGACTATTCTGACTTACATGACTTATCTCTCTAATGGTACACCAAATGCCCCAAACACTGAGGTCAGTGAGATATTCTTGTGACATTGTTGTTGCTGTTGACTGGCAAGCATGGTGGATACATCTGTCTGTTCTATGTTCTAGGAGCTATACCAGAATTTTTTTCAGCTTTTCATTGCTATGTTGTGGGAGTGTCAACTGGAAAGAGGTGGTCTTTTCTCAACTGATTCAAAGCCAAAGAATGTCTCATGACTCAGTTTTTCTTTTTAAGAACTCAGGTTTTTACTTTATCACAAAAGCTCTGAATCTAGATACATGTTCTGTCATTTAGAGGTGGGAAAAGTGTGGTTCGCAACAATTCTTTCACTGTCTCCAGAATTTTGTCATGAAGGGGTCCATGTAAGGCCAAAATCATACTGTACAAAATATGAAAAAGCTTCTCACAGCTTTTACTGTAACAAAGTGTTATTTTACTGCCTTAGGTTCCCACAGCGCAAGACAGTTGGCCAGGCAATTTTGGTCCTGGGTTGCCTCTAAGCTAATCATTACTGTGAGAATGGGCACCCTAATCAGATGGTAAAGGCAATGATTTTATTGGTGATGGGTTTACTCTAGAATGAGTACTTTTGTTGGATCTTATTTAATCTCCTTTACGGGGCATGCAAGATGCATATAAGCTCCAAAAATACTGCTAGTCAGCAACAGAACAGCAGCTGCTACTCAGATTTACTCATACCTTGTACACTTAAGGTACAGCCTTTTTCTAGAATCAGATCGAGCACAGGCGTGGAACAATGTGCAGTGATTTGGTATAAACAAATTATGAACAGTAGCCCGATTCCCTACTGGGAGAAACTGGAACTGCTGAGAAAAGGGGAGCAAATTGTGTAAGAAAAAGTTCCTGAGTATTAGTGGTTAGAACCCAGAGGACAGTCTTTCTGTGAAGCTATGGATAGCACATGTGCTCACTCACACAGTTACCTCTATTGGGTATTACTAATTCCCTGTTTCCTTACTGCAATTTAACCACAATGGGTCTGCTATGTAGTCCACATATCTGTTTATCTCATTCAATGTGTGATCGTTAGTCAACAAAAACCATTATGTTTAAATTGGTAAAAAAAAAAAAATAAAAAAAAAAGTTTAAATTAGAGCTGGGTTAATAAAACCACTGTAAAATAAAATTAAGAACACTGTTTTTCGGTTATTTCCATTTATAAGTATTGTGCTTGCTAAGAAACATTTCAGGTACCTGCAATCCCTCACAGCATTAAAAAGCTTTTGTTGAGATACTGCAGTACAGTATCTCATTAAAACAGGGTTATGGATTTAGTTATGAGTATTTCCCTAAAACCACTAAACATCGAAAGTGATGAAGGACTTACTCCAGTGTTTTCATAATTAACATAAACTAGGTTTCATTTTTCCAAACCAGGCGCATTTTGAAGTGCTACATAGCCTGAACTTCTGCAACTAATTACTTTAAGTAAAATTGTATGGCTAAGAACATAATTGATTTTATGTATATTAAAGGCCAAATCTTACCAGTTAGTGCACAATATAGTCAATGTTTACTGTTAGCTTTTGAGCAGCTAGGACAGAACTTGGCACAAACTAGACAAAATCATGGTCTAGGACAGAAACAATCAGTTACCTTGGCACAGACTGTGGCGTTCGATCCCTCACTCCTAAATTCTTGGCTGTGTTTTGTACTCTTGCACCCTGTGAAAGAAAAACAAGAATTTTGCTTCATTTATTCCAACACAAGTTAAAAGGTTTTCTAAGCTTTCTAGATAAACATAACTATTGATTATAATTAATACATACACGTGCTCCATGTCCTGAAACAACTCTCCTCTTGTAAGGTGGGGAACAAGTCAAAGCAGTACATTAATTCTCAACTTAGAGAAATAGGCAGAAAAAAGACGAGATCTTTCCACTTGTCATTAAATAAATGTGTACATGTATACCTTACTAGCATAAAAAGACTTTATAAAAAATTAACAGCTAAGGTTTAAAACAATCTGAACACACCCCGTTTCAATTTTGGGGTTTTTTGTCACCATTCTTTGTAGAAGGCGTGGATAACAAAGGTGTTTTCTGAAATGTCACTTCCTTCTGAACAAACAAATATTACAGATTATTTCCTATAAATAGGTCTCTAGTTAAATCTAGAAAAAATGGCATAAATTGAGGCACTAAACTAGGATTACAAAAATGCAAGTCCTGATCTTCCTTCTTAATCACAGAATCACAAAAAAACAGTGAGGTTGAAAGGTACCTCCCGGGATTGTTTAGTCCAACACCCCTGCTTAAAGCAGGGTCAACTAGAAAACCTGCTCTCTGTACCTCAGTTGATCTTTTGAAAAACAGTAATGAAAGTACTCATCTTACTGACTCATCCAGTAAGGAGGAGGTTGATAAAACATGCACAATGTTCATGTACCATGATAGTGAAAAACGCAGACCCTTCTGCAAATAAACTAGTAGAACTTAGCTTTAAAATATGAGGTCTTTTAAAGTGCAGTTTTATTAATGTAAAGTAGCCATCATAAAGAAACATATCTGTTAGACTTACACTTTCTATGTTTTCTAACATTTTTAAGGAGACGGAAGCTACTTTTTCTGTCTATAATACATACACTGACTCTCCCTTTATTTCTCCTGCTTTACTACCTAAATTCAGGACAAAATAACAGAGGTTCTCAGAGTTTATATAAATCAACATGTGCCACAAAGAACACTGTGTCCTTACATTTCTTTTAGGAGAAAAAAAAAAAAAAAGCGGTAAAGATAGAGAAAATAATTGGAATACCTACAAAACTGACGGCAGAATATAAAAGTGATTTTACTAGCTTTACATCTAGATCAGTAAGCTTGTCTCTGATAGTTGCAAAAGACACATGACTACAGACCATGATAAACATACATCTTTCCCCAGAAACTCCTCCAGAATTCAATTATTAGTCACACAATAATGCCTCTGTTCAGCAGCAAGTATGTATACAATCAATTTCAGTGATTCTCTTCTTTCCCATCTCATCTTGAACCTGCAAATAATTTCACATCACTAACCTCTCCCTGTGGAAGGAGATCCACATCTTGGGTATAATCTTAGCTTGTTGTGTCAAGAACCACTATTTTCTCTTGGCTTGAATCTGCCACTTTCATTTGATGCCTTTAGCTCTGCACTGGTGAGGACAATGGTGAGCCCCTATCCATGCCAGATGTTCCTCAGACCTCTGTCATATCCTCCTTCACTCATGAAACTGAATAATCCTAGATGATTTTGTCTGTCTGTCCTGTCTATAAAACCTTTCCCAATTATTGATCATTTTTTTCTGACCCTCTCTGAACCTTTTCCATTACGTATACCCTTATGGAAGGGGTCAGAACAACAGATAGTTCAAAATGAAGGGTCATGATAGCATGCCTAAACCATTATAACTTCAGATTTACTTTATTAACAGCTACTGAGAATTGAACTGATGTTTTCTATCATATCCTGAGGTCTTGAACATGAGATGTAATGGCAAGCTCACAGTAAATAATTTTGAATGTGAACTTAGGGTTTGTTTCTTCCCTCTGTGTGTATCACAGAAGAGTTACCGACACTGATTTTCATCCGCCATTTTATTGCTCAATCATGAAGTACTGTAAGATCCTTTTGTAATTCTTCACAGTTACTGCTCATCTTTAACAAAAACTTGAAAAGATTGCAGAGGAGAATAGGGAGAATTAGGTAAGAAAACACAACTAAAAAAAAAAAAAAAGAAAGAAAGATCAGATGAACTGATGTTCTTCTATCTATACAAATCATGGCTTACCGGGGAGATGATAATCAAATTCAGGACAGACTTTTTAGTAGGGCCTCTAGCAATAAGACAATGGGTAATGGTTTTAAACTAAAAGAAGGTAGATTCAGACTCGATATAAGAAAGAAATTCTTTACGACGAGGGTGGTGAAACACTGGAACAGGTTGCCCAGACAGGTTGTGGAAGACCCATCTCTGGAAACATTCAAAATACTAGAAGTCTGCTGCTAAAAAGTAGTAAAATCTGTTTGGGAAGATCTCTTTATGGGGTAAAAACTGGTCTCTAGGTCTACAGTATACTGAACAGAAAACAGGGGACCTAAATTGAAGAGGGGGAAAAAAAAAAAAAAAAACCCACACACACACAAAAAGGAAAAAAAAAAAAAAAGAAAGAAAAAAAATACTCAAATGAGGCACTAAGTACAACATCCTAAGGAAAAGGTTGAGAAAGCTCTGAAACAGTCCACTTGGGAAGCGCTGTGCAGGAGTCTCCACTACTGGAGGTTTAAAACCAGGTACAACAAGTATCTGTCATGAATTACATAAGAATAGCTGACCCAGTGTTGGTTACAAAGTTAGACATGTTGAGTCCAGACCTTCATCACTTTTAGTGTCCTTTCCTCAGTGCTGTTTTCTAAGATTTTATCATTATAAAGAAACCCCAGCATGACAGACTGCTGAGAATGGCATATGATTAAGAAAACTGAGAGCCAGAATATACATATACATGGGAAAACTAACTAAATTAATCACATGTAGATCCTGAACGTCAGTGCTGTGACTACCTCTGAGAGCAAAACCAGCCTATTTTTACTTGCATCACTCACTAGACAAATTAATTTTTAGTATCTTGCTCACATAATAAATCAAATGCTTTGATTTAAAAAGGAGTCTAGCTTTATACAACCATGTAATTTACTGTTCAGCAGGAGGACAAATTAGACCTTCCTTACAACCAGCAGATTCTTATTTCTTTTGAGGAAAAGCCCCCAAGAATTACTAGTAAGTTGCTACATGGCATATCTTTGTCTCCACTGTGCACCATTATACCATTTCGGTTTTGATATACTGTTAATTTATACTTCTCCAATATTATTCTTAAGGATACCGCAATGTAAATATTGACATTGTTCATCTCACATAGACACATAAGGGACAGTTGTGCTACACAGCTCCAGCATGATTCTCTTTGTGTACCAGTACTGCCAGAGCACTGGTGAAAGATGCCAGCAGCTCTGAGACGACACCGCCATCAATCTGGACTCTTATATATGAACTAGTATTCTCGTTGCCATGAGAAAAAATGATAGGTTTATTTTCAAGCTACACACTAATTTAAGGATAGCAAGAACCAGTCACATAAAGAAAACAGATACTTTTTATGCCTTGCTCAAAGAGCTCTAAATCAGTACAATTTTTATGAGAATTATTCAAAATGTAGTGCCAGTATTATACTCATGAAAAGGCATGGAAAAATGATTACTCACTTAAAAGACAACACAAATTCTCTCCTAGCCTTTTCTGTTTAGCAGCTTTTTAGTTACCTTTCTTCCTCAGAGCCCTGTGCCCTCCTGCAGCTCCTTTCCTAGGCCTCTGTCCTCTCCACACTTTGCTGCATCCTGAAGACACACTCCTGTCAGGATGCTTTACATAGCTTTTTGTGGGTACGGATGTTTACATGAATAAACATACATGAGTAAATAAAACTACTAAAAGATAGTTGGGACGTTTTGTCAAAGTTTTTATTTTAAAATTTGATCTAGACTGGATTAGCTGATGAAAACCATAACTAAAACCATATCACAGACCCAAGTTCATACCAACTCTCACAGGTTGGTCTATTCTTTAGTTCTTGCAGAAGAGGTGCTTGTCAATACCTAATTATAACTGACAGGGCAATTACATTGAAAATTGTTTCAACAGTACAGTCAGGGCTATTATGAGTCCTGTTAAACATGATCACGACCTCATTCAATTTGAAAGAAAAAAAACACTTCCTGAGGTCATCCCTTCATTCCGGTTTCTCCAGTCAGGCAGTACTGGTGCCCCAAGCTGGAAGAGGTATCAGCTTCAAGGAGGGGCAATTTCCCCTTGTGGAAAGCTAATATTGCTAGGAGCTAACTTTGCTGGCTTCTCCAGAATAACAGATGGAATAGATGTCCTTTCATTTGCACCTCCCTGTGGCTAATCTCTTTATTCCACAAAAGATTCAGGGTGTAAATGGGCTAACAAAGTATTCATTTGGTTGTTTTTCTTATATTAAGATAGGTAAAAAACACATGTATTGCCCTTAACTAAATGTTCTGTATCAACCCCCAAGAAGCCTTTTTTTTTTTTCCCCCTCCAAGTTTTATGGCCTGCATTATGCTCCTGACAGTTAAATCCTACAGATAATTTAAAAATTAAATTCAGAACAGGTTTCTAGAAAATACCACAGTGTGTTGTTGAAATTTCTCCAAAACATTTAGAATTTAATGGAGGGTTATATTTCTACTACAGAACTCCAGGACTGATTTAAAATTACAACAAAAGATTCTTACTCTATTAAAAGCCATAGTGGTTTCCTGCAAGAGGAAGAATGTGGGAAAAAAGTCTGGTTTGATATACTAGCAGACTTTTTTGCAGTGTCTGTGTGTGGCATTGAGATATTGGTATCTTTAACAGCTATTGATCACCTGCTGTTTTACTTCAGAGAATGCAGCCTCACCAGAAGCTTCTTTCTACATCTCTGTTTGAGCACGTACAGTTACAGCTGCTCAAAACCATGCAGGTTACTTTCATTTTGTCTTTCATTTTCATTTAATAAACTACAGAAGATCCACAAATGAATCAGCATTTTTTAAAACAGTCTAAAATGGTACACTGAAAATGTACCCTTTGACAGAATATATCCTACAAGTAGACACATGTAAAACTATATGTCCATGTTTTTTGATTGCAAAATACCCAGATTTGCCTTTCGCCTAGAACTTCAGGAGCACACATATCAACCTATACACGCAAGTTTACACTTATACAGCAGTAGCTTCCTTTTCAAGTCAAGTTAAAGCTGTAATTCCTGAGCAGACCTACATGGTCTAATTCAAGAACCTTGAGGGTGTTTATTCACCACAGAAACTTAATTTATGCACCAAATAAAACAAAAGGCCAATATGAAAAGGAATGAGACTAATTACTCTGATATATCCCTGTTAGGTAGCAGCACTTACATATAATTGATCAGAATCTATGACTTTAGGCTATCTACACAATTGCGTATGTGTATTTTTGTCTATAGCAAGTTAGAAGTAAAGTACAGCTGTTTAATCATTTTCATAACTAAACTGTGATTGCTGCACAGAATATGCAGCAAAATTAATGAAAATAATAAAATTAGATGCAAACTAAAAAAACAGAAATTATGAATCTTGTCTTATCTGTGATTAATTGCTCTAATTATCTTTTTTCACTTCAAGATTGAATGCATCCCGTATCTTGTTTATGCTTTTGTTGTAAGGTTGAAAGCTACCACAGGCTGGGACATATGTTCCATATGCCCACAGAGTGATTAAGCCCCCACTCAACCTCTCTTTGATCAACCGAATAGGTTGAGCTCTTTAATCTTCACTTCATAAGACTTGTCTAACAACCTCTAGATCATTTGTGCTCCTCCTTTGAACTCCTTCCAAGATTCCAAACATCTTTTTGAAAGTATTTATCTGATAACAAGATATTCAAGGAAAAGCTCTGCCAAAACAGTAGAGTGTATCCCCCATTTTCAGTTGATGCTGCCTTTTAATCTGGTATTTTTTGTCATACCTTAGCACTGAGAGTTCATATTGAGGTGGTTATCTATCCACAACAGCCTTTAATTCCTAACATTCTGTTATGATCAAAGAGTGAAAAACACTATTTTGAAATAAGCATATTGTCCTCAGGAATCTTGTCTGGAAAGTTAAGAACCACAGTATTTATTTCTCCCCTTCCCTCTCACACTTCACCTTCATTCAGTACATTAATAACTTCTTATTAACAATAGTTAATAATCTTAAGTTATTTTTACGGATAATATATATTAAAATAAAGATTGTCTTACTCAACAGACTATTCTGATGTAAGGTGATGCCACAGCACTTATTATACAAGAATCATTACGCAAAATTATAACCTTGTAAAAATGATGATACATTTACACATACAGAGTAAGCAAGTATCTGGTTAAAAACAGCCTGTTCTGTTATTTTTTTTTTTTTTTTAAAAAAAAAAAAAGGCAAGCGACAGAAGAACCACCTTCCGGTCAACAATAAAAATACCCGAACTAAGAAAACTCACACAGACATTACATAACATTAAGATGAAGCTTAAAAAATGCTTGGTCAAGTCATTCTTGTTTGATGGTAACAATGATAACACCCGTTGTTAGGAAACACCAAGATCTTACCTGTTTGCGCATGACATCTGTAGCTTGCATGATATAGCGAGGAGGTAGCCCATGGCTCCGAGCCAGAATGATCGCCTGCTCCAGGGTAACGCTCAGAGTGCAGCTGCAATGGGAGACAGAAGTCAGCTGTCTGATAGCAGTGATTTCCTTAAAGTAATTGCTTTTAGAGCAATCATCTTTTTATATGAAGTTATATGTGAAAAGTTTCCATAGCAGACCTGCCCCCTATCCCTCCCCCAGCCATGCGGGCATTAGTCTGAACACTAAAATGTTTCTTAAGTAGAAAGATTTTGAAAGTAACAAGTGTTCCTGCTGACTTACAACCAAATGCATTTGCCTTGTTTGGCTGTTGCTTAAAAAAACAACAAAACTCACAACCCAACTATGGTGTGGCAAGTACATGAGAGAGTGACAACCCAAGAATAATTTTTTGTAATTGTATAAATCCCTTTCCAGGTGCTTTCTGCACATGTTATCTCTCACTCTCCACTGCTAATGCAGACCCTAGTTTTGGTATCAGGATCTTGACCTCTTGCCATTAATTTAGCTTGGTTATTCTCATGGCACATTAGTGCAGTTCACTCCAAAATTAAGAGACATTTTCAGAAAAAGAAAATAAATAAATAGGCCATTCTGCCAAATAAACTGTCCTCTCCTACTTTGCCAATCTTTTTCAAGTAAACACTCGAGGACAAAAAACTGATCATGGTACCACAACCTAATGAAAAGGCTGCAATTGCTTTGTCAGAGCAACCAGGAAAGTTTCAGAGCTAAAGATCTTGCTGTAGGACAACCTGTCATCACACCAGACAAGCAGCAGGGAAAGTCACTTTGGACATGCCGTCCGATTTCAGTTGTCATGGTGAGGACAAGGACAGATAGTTGGTTTCTCGTGCAGTCAAGACCAAAGCTATAGGAGACTCACAGATGAAGCCAACAAAACTGAGTAGAAATAGGTGCTTTTTGGAAAGCACAACATGTCTGAGGGCTGCTATCATCCAAGAGGTGAGAGTGGCTCCATTCTGCACCAGTACGCTGCTTGATGATTTTTCTGTTCACAATGAAAGCACTGCAATAATCAAAGCTCTTTAATCAGAAAGATGAGCTGTACAGAAAATGATCCTACCTCAGCAGAACCTGACAAAAACTGCATATTTCAGGTTAAAATAATAAAACTAAGACACATACTTAGAATATACTTTTGAGTAGCCTTTTGGCAAAATCCTGACCAAAAGATTCTGTATAGTTTATATTATGCACACAGAACAGACAATATGTTTCAATCAAACACTCATCTTGCTGAGCAGAAGATCTGTAGGAGGAAAAATGTGTCTGCACTTACTTTCTTACTGAAAAAGAAAAAAAAACAACCCTGACACGTTTTAAATACCACTTAAGTAAATTTATGGACTGTAAAAAGTTTCTCAGTATTGAGTGTAGAAGATACTAAATTTGATCTGTAGCTTTATTAATGGCCTTTCATTAAAAATTTATAAGCTAAGTGATTTTCCATGGTAATGAAATAATTTTTATTCCCCAGTTTTTTGTATACACTGACCTCGGAGTTAACTTGAAGCAAAAATCTATCGATCTTTTGTGTTACATGTTTGATTAAGGTGCATAATAGTTAAGTATTAGACTAGAAATTATAAACACTTTGGTTTTATCTTGTCTTTGAAAGGTGAAATACTGAATAAATAAAGTACGTGCTCATAATATTTGTCAGCACCAAAATCTAAACATCTAACTTTCAAGACCAGACTGCAAAGGAAGCTTTGTCCCATTGATAATGGCAAAAAGCAAAAGTATCTGAAATCTAATTTGACAGGTGTAATCTAAGCCAGAGAAAAAGGGTAAAAAGTCTCTCTGTAGGTATAATAGAGGTTAATGGGCTTAAAGTACAGCTTTCAACCAACCAGTTACTGAGCCAACTTTCCCATAAATCCCATCTACCTTGGAACCCAGACGACTGAAAAAACAGAAGATTCATATTCTGCATGTGTGAATCAAAACTAACAAAAGAACCTCCTAAGTGAAAGTCAGCTTGAAAAATTAGGGGCAAACACTAATCTTGTGATTGGAAAAGACTGCCAAACTGCTCCCTATCCAAAAACTGATGAAATGGCTGATTGTGGACATTATGAGCCATTGACATTTTGACAATGCCAACTGTGATTCAGAAATAAGGTTGCCAAGTGTGTAGATAAAGACATAGCCAGAGTGGGAAAAGCAGAGACAAAGAGTAAAATACCACAATGAAGATTTCTTTAATAGGCTACTATGGAGGTAGACAACAACTACAGTACAATCCTGAAACATATAGGCTAAAATTGAAGATCTCACCTCAAGGCAAAAAAAGAATAGTAATTCTAAGGGTAATATTTTTAACGTATCTTGGAAAATTAGTAGTGAAGACACCCAAGATGACAGCAGCAATGACATTAACTATAATCACACACCTCTTTAATAAAAGATTTTACATTCGAGGTAAGGTACTGAAGTAATGTGGGTTAGATACATCCACTGTTTCTTTTAAAAATACGTTCTTACTCATTAATGCATGTTAAAAATGTTAAAAAAGCATCAGTGACATGATTGCATTTCAGTATATTATTTCATTAAATATGCAATTTGATATCACTAGATTTTGTGTTTCTCTTAAGGGATGTAAAAGGTCTGATGAATGGTAGAATTAAATAAAAATTACTGGTTATGGCTATTGTCATGGGATTATGAAATAAGGTTACTACGTCCTAAACACAAAAACCAACAACACTCAAATATCTCCATTTTGGTCAAATACTGAATTGAGGAAATGACATCCTCTAACAAAACTGATCATATAAAACATCCACAGTGCTATGCTGAATTGACTCACTAGTGAACATGCATTTACAAGCTGGTGCTCTCTCCCAGCTCTTCAAATATAGTTTTTGAATTACTACGTATCCATTATACCAAATTAAACTGTCCTGGAAACCAGCTGCGAAAGAAACAAATGCACACACAAAACATCAGATGGTAACATGGAAAAGTCATAGCTGGAAATACCTCAGCAATGGGGCTGCCAAGCACAGAGAAATCAAGCAAATGCAAATTTAAACCAAACCAACTTGTACAATTTGATGAAACAATGTGAAAGGTGGGAATTTCTCATATAGTAAGACAGTCCTGGTGGTCTGAATAAGGTTTCGGTATCAAGGATTGTCAGCATGTATGTTCAATATGTAATAATCCACCCTTCTTCCTCATACTTAGAGCTGACAAGCAGATGGTATTAAAGTTTACAATTTGGAAGCAGTTCTGACCACTGAAAGTGTCTGGCCGTTTGGATGCAATCAGCCTAGACAAATCAAACAAGGAAAATATTAGGGGAAAAAGTCCTTCAGTGCTCTCGTAACATTCTGTTATGGGAAGTATAAATCCCAAATCCATATATTCTACAGTGTAAACTGATCAAAATCTGTTCCTACTCCCTCTCTTTTCCTATCATCCCTTTTATGCCAGAACAACAAAAGACCCAAATTCGTCATCTCAAAATTTATGTCAGTTAGAATCACAAATTCCCTGCCTTGACAGATTACAGCAGAAAGGCAGCACAGACATTTGGCTTTCCCAGCACAACTGGGCTGAGAATTCCTCGTTTCACCCATTTGGTTTCCAAGAAACAGACGGGGCTACAGCTGCTCCCAGCCCCTGCTTGCTATCCCCTGTCTCCCATCAGTCATGACAATATTGATGTGAAGATTAAATACAAACTTTTAAATATCTTCTGGATCAGACCATCCTGAACAAAAGAGGTTAAATCATTTTCTATCACCAATAGTCCATTTGTTTCTGACTAGATGTGATTTTTACTGAAAGGCTGCAAATCGGCTGGATAGACACACATCTACACTGAAAAATGGAGTCGTAAAAGAGGAAAACAGATTGAAATTTTCTAAGAAATGGATTATTTCATGACAGCTTGTTTAATGTCACCTGAAAGGAAAAATAATTTGAGTTCATGTACACTACCTACAGAGCTGCCACTCGGCAAACTGTGTATCTATGTTACCAGAGTAAAAAGAATCTAAATCATTGAATTCATTTTCAGTTTTCAATTAGGATTCCAGCCATCCTACACCCAAAGATGAGTCAAAATATCCCTTAGAAAAATGCCCTGAATAGAAAAGATGAGGTGAAACAAATTAGTTTAGTAGTTACCACAGTCAGAGACATCAAAATGAATTATGTTCTGGCTATGTGAATAGGAAAAAAATGAAAAGGATGCATGTATGCTTAGTCTAATTAAAATCTAAAGCTTTTTCTCAACATGTAATTTAATGCCAATGTTATTTAAAATAATTTTCTTTCCATACATCATAAGCTAATCATACCTACATTTGAGCACCTTTTAAATCAATTACACTATTAAGTATTCATTTGTTTCTGCTGTCATTTAAATTAATGCCTATAGAGCAGCTATTATTCATGTCAGTGTATGCAGCAATTAAAAACTTAGAACTAAATTCAGTCACTTTGGGGTAAACATTTTTGGGGGATTTCTCTATAATTACTAGTGATGGCTGGGTAGTATGTACTGATTCTGATAAGTAACCCAAAGAAGAAAATAGGCCATGATAAACCTAAAAAGGAGGGAAAACATTCAGGACTATAAGGAAGAAGCATAAAAAGTATAGACAGGCCTAACTCAAGACTGTCCCACAATTTCTAAGCTGTTCTTATTGTGGGAATATGTCTCCATGCAAGTAAAATTGAAGTTTGCATTCTCTGTGCCCGTATACTGTAACTTTTCTGAACAGAACTTCATCTTGCAGGGAAAGGGAGGTTGGGCCAGTCAACAAGTATGAGAGAGAAAATGAGCAAGAAATTTATACATTAAACTACAGTATTGTATTTTACAATTACAATAAAACTCTACTGGAGTTCAGGACTTAGGTTTAGTCCCTTTATGAACCTCTGTGAAACTGAGATGTCCCCAGCATGGAAAGACCACTACTTTCAAATCGGCCTTGGATTGCACCTATCCACTGAAGGTTAGCCCAAAACTTGTGTTATTTTTTCCAACATATAGAAAGCCATTACTCTGCATGTGAAATA